CCCCCCCCCCCCCCCATTTTATATACATATGATTCATATATTTCGTCTTATCCTCGTTATCGCTGAGAAAACCTCATTTCTACGATAAAAACGTATTAAATATCAGTTAATTAGGTGTACCAAACAATCACTAAGCAAGTAATTAAATATCTAGCCTAATGTTAGTGTAATCTATTAACTACACGCATCATAAACCTGTTTGTTTAGACAAGTACCAGATAAGTTGTCATGAAATATTTTAATACGACTGAATTTGTATTTAATGTGATCACAGTTTAATAAAAACATTCTAAGTTACTAATTATAACACTTGCATTTCCACAGTTATTCAAACAGTGAGTAAATTATGGAGAAAGCGAGCAAAGAATATTCACATTAAATAATATTATCACAGACCTCAGTTTAGCTAGTGTTTAAGCACTCATAGCTCCTCTTATAATCAATGAAGCTGTCCATACACTGTATGATAAATTAATCTCTTTCTTACATCGTACGTACATCTGCACTTTGTTGTTTATGAGATAATTCATGAGTTTCAGTCAGAATGAATTCAGCACACACGCGCAGTGAACAAAACTCTGAGGTTTCAGCGACGATTCATCTGAACGCCTCTGATTGGCCATTGCATTCCTAAGCTCAACAGAATCGCGTGTATTTGGTTATAATGTGCAACGCTGTAAAAACGAGTAAAAATAAATACGATAGAGCATGAGCAGGTCTAAATTAATGCAGCAATGAAAACTTTTAATTTAATTTTAATTTTCACTAGTTTCATGTTTAACGTATTATAATTTTATTGAAAAACCAGGGACCCCCCCCCCAACTTCATTTTTTTGGGTGTTATGGGGGGTCCCTTAATGCTTACGGGAGTTCTGGGACCCAGGCCCCCTTCAATTCGAACAATGTATAATAGTCATGGACTTCCCGTGAAAGACATAATTTTGATAGCAGTATATGTCTCTGTTCAATCGCAGTATATGGTACCGTCACACATATTCCAGTCACCCGTGCCGTTTGCTCTGCTGCACCCCCATATAATGACAGACATTTGCTTTTGCTTCTTTCGCTAATGAAAGTCTGGATGGTCCCTTTGGTCTTTGGGACTGAGAACTCGGAATGCATTTTTCTCGGAAACAAGTTGAAATGTGGACTCATCTGAGCACAGCACATATTTCCACTGCCTTGTTGACAAGTCTGAGATGAGCTCTGGCGCAGAGAACCCGAATTGATGTATAGCTTTCTCCCAGAGTAACAGATATTCAAGTTGCATTTCTTGATGCAGCAGCAGACTGTGGTAAATGACAGTGGTTTTCTGAAGTACTCCTGAGCCCATGTGGCTATATTTAACACCGCAGGATGACGGTTTCTCATGCAATGCCAGCTGAGGGCTCAAAGGTCAAGCACATTCACCTGAGGTTTCCAGCCTTGCCCTACATGTACTGTGATTTCTCTGGATTCCCTGAATCTTTTCACAATATTATGTATGGTACTTGGTGAAATACCTAAATTCTTTGCAATTTTGCATTGCGAAATGTGATTTTTGATTTGTTTGATACTTCTCTCGTGAAATTTGGCACTAAGTGATGAGCCATGATCCAGCTTTGCTTGCAAAGACTGAGATGCTCCTT